TATTAAAAAGTACATGGCGTATTCACAATTGTTCGATATTAAGGATTAGAGTCCGACGCTTGAAAGCAAATCGTTTACCTGTGCTTCCCAACGCAACTGATCGATTTCGGTGATATTGTCCGGTAACGGGATTCGCCCATCACGAAGAAAATTCAGTACCATCGGGAAGTACTTTGGATCGTGATCGATGAAAATCTCACTGTCATCGTTCAATCGATCGATATTGTCGACCAACCTGTGAAATTTTTTTTAAACTTGACAAGAAAGAAGGAAAAGCCACAAAGTAGTACAACCCGCGCTTACTATGTCTCGGAGGTACGCCATATTGCACAAGGGCTACGTAACCCTCAAATTTGCGTATCTCTGAGTGGGCACTTTGCAGATTTCTAAGGAATCTAATATACTCATGCCAAAACCCAGGAGGGGGCTATGGGCGGTGACTGAGCCACTTCTCATCGTCTGGCAGAATGGAGTCACTTTGTCCGTAGACTAGCGCATTGAGAGGGAAAGATGCTGTCTTGGTGAGAGGGTGCAGACTAACAGAAAATGAGTGACCCATCCCGCACATAGCGCCCAGTATAATATGTAGAATAATAAATGAAACAACATCATAATTCAACAAAAACAATAAAATAATATAAAATGGACAAATTTGACCTGTCTTTGGTAGCTTGTAAAGTAATAAAACAATAAAATAAAATAAACACATCGTCAAATAATCGATAAATTATTCAAATATCTACTGAAAAGCAGCCTTCGAAGTCTGACCGTGTTCGGCACTCGAACATCAATGTCCCCACAGTGGTCAAAAATTTGTCCACCAACGTTCAATTTTACTCGATGATTGAGGCCAGACATCATGCCTCGTCAGAAACACATAATTAACCTGTAAAAAACCTGAAATTGCTTATTTGTATGGTTTTACGCTTTGTTGTTTACTATTTATTTACTATCAATACAAAGGACATGACTGACGTGCCACAATTTTGACAAATATCGATGGCGGACAGAGACGCAAAATTTGACTTTGGCAACGTTTTTTTCCACGCTCAGATTTTCCCGTTTCATTTCATCTTTAAAAAATGGCAAAAATCATATTAGAACATTTCACAATTGAAAACTCCAGTGGTTGGATATTTTTAGATGCTGCATTGACCATTTGATTCCTCCCGTACTTATCAATTACCCCCTCCCTTATTTTTATTTTATGCTGGTAATTTCGAGGGCGGAAGTGGTGTAGTGACAAGTGGCGCGCTTACCACGCGAGCGGTCCGGGGATCAAATCCTGGGTCGTGAGTCGCCCGGGCCAACCAAGCCTTCCATCCCTCCGGGGTCGGTTAATTGGTACCAGACTTGTCTGGGAGGATAAAAACACTGACTTGTACATCGGCTGGCCCCCGCAAGTCATTGTATAGGCCACATCGCATTCAAACGCCACTACAAATGGAAGTAGAATGCGTGCCGCATCCCAAAAAGGGATTGATCAACGGCAAATGCTTTATCCTTTTATCCTTTATTTATAAAATAAAGATAAAGCATTTGCCGTTGATCAATCCCTTTTTGGGATGCGGCACGCATTCTACTTCCATTTGTACATTCGTAGTGGCGTTTGAATGCGATGTGGCCTATACAATGACTTGCGGGGGCCAGCCGATGTACAAGTCAGTGTTTTTTCCTCCCAGACAAGTCTGGTACCAATTAACCGACCCCGGAGGGATGGAAGGCTTGGTTGGCCCGGGCGACTCACGACCCAGGATTTGATCCCCGGACCGCTCGCGTTACACCACTTCCGCCGGTAAATTGTTTAGAACCCAATTAAAACTGGCAGAGCCCGTTAGTCAATATCTCGAGATATTGACGCACAGCATCAACAAAATGCTGACGGTAACGCATAGTAACGAGGGGTGTGCGGGAAAGAAGGGGTGTTCTCAAATGTAATGGAGTAAAGCAAAACAAGCAAATGGAAGGGAAGTGTTTTTTGGAAGGTGGAATCTGCAAAATTGCGTCAGGATCAAGGTAAACCTCAACTGTAATCCTATGTAGCAATTCTACCTTGAGAACGTCTGGAATGTAAAACGAGCCAACCACCGCGGGGCAAAAATTCGAGGGACCAATTTGTGGTCGACCTTCACGTTGTGCCCAGTTCAGCATTTGTACGACCCTCTGTGAAGGAGATTCCCCGATAATTTCGAGGTAGTAGAAGGAAACTTACCTAGTGGAAAGACAGACACACCCTGTGCAGGTGCGGACCGGCACGCAATTTGCAGAAGGGATACGCCCCGCCGACCTAGCACGGCTCTCCACGCGCACACCCATCGAGTGGCCAGCCCAGGTCTCTAGCCGTTTAGCAGAGAGAGAGAGAGAGAGAGATAGCGTTAGCGTTGAAGAGGGCAGCAGCGATGGGTGTCGCATCAGTGCAGAAACCAACGAACAAGGAAGGGTTCTCATTTTTGCGGGTTCTAGACCTTTTCTCTGGCTTTTCTTCGTGCCGGCACCACCTCGACCTTCATCTCATGCATTTTGTGGTAATAGTAAACTCCGTAAAATCGCAACTAGTAGTAAAATGAGTGGTATACTTTCCGAGGCACATTACGTTGAAAAAGGTACCCCAGTGAGATTATGAGTGATTTTGGAAGATTCGGCAAGTACATCCTTCACTGGATCTCATCAGCTATGATTACCACTGGCACAAATATACATTCGCGTCCAAAAACCGATTGACAAATCTGGTTTTTGGGACTTTCTCGCTAATCTCAAAAAAAGCGATATC